TGTTATAGTATCACCTTGCTCTCACATCATGTTCCTTGTTCTCGCTAGCACTATAAATCGGCATCAGTCCGGTCTAGTGCAAGCAGACACACACACACACACACACACACACACACACACACACACACACACACACACACACACACACACACACAGACGTTCATGCACGTCGCTATATAAGTGCAATAATCTTTGACGCGACGTTAAACCAAATTTCACCGTGGGGTCGATCGTAACAAAAGACGTTAACAGATGGTTTTTTTTGTTACCCTGCTTGGAGCTCGGCATTAAGCGAATGAAAAAAGAACTGGCCTGCATAATGTAACTGAGTGGAATACCTGTGCTTAATAACGACGTGGTATTTCAGTGGGCTGTCACCATAAAACTAGCATAATTCCAGACTAGTACAAACGGCAAAACACAAGTGTATACACGTCGCTGTATGAGTGAAATAGCCCTCATTTCATCTCACATCTGACAGGACGTCTACCTCTGAGACCTGCCTTGTCGGTAAAAAGGGCCAACTCGTGGACCTAGCAGCAGAATTGGAAAATTATTTGCGCTTTTCATATAAAATGCGAAGGAGTTTGTTCGATACAATGGCGATATCTCGGATAATTAACATCGGTGTCCGCCATGGGTGTATACAAAGTCCCTTTCTATTTTGCCTTTTCGTAATTAAATTACATATCAAATCCAAAATAACTGAACCGATGCCATACAACTACGTCCCGAAACAGTTAAATTACTTTTGCTACTTTTCGCTGATGATATAGTCATTTTCTGAGAGGAATACCTGTAAAGCAAAAGCAAATAAAAGTATTAGAGGGTCATTGTGATGGTTCGAAACTACCCTAAATATGGATGAAACCATATTTGTAGTGTTTACTTAATCTAGGAAAGAATAAATGTTATCGTAAAGGAAATCCTGTAGAAGGTTTTTTCTATTTTTTTAATACTCAGGTCGGCTTTCTAAGTAGATTTACTTGGTCAAAGAATGCACATAAAATTACATTGCAAGCCATGCAAATTTTAGTAGCAAAACATATGTATGATGTTTTGTATAAAATATTACACACCCGATTTTATTGCATGGGTCAGAAATTGGGGCCTAAAACATGTGGATGTTATTGAAAAGGTACAGTTATATTCATGTAAAAAGTGATTGGGTGTCAAGTCCAGCATACACGACGAAAGGGTACATGGGGAATGTGGAAGGTGTCCCAAGTATCTCTGAAGTTATTAAAAGAATTTTAAATAGTTGGGCAATGTATTAAATATGCCATCTGCAAGATACCTTGTATTGAAAATGAAATGAAAATATCACCTTTCTATGTGTATATCAAGTGTCTATGACTCACTGTCAAAAAGTGATGATACCAGGTGTTTGCGAAAAGGGGAGCGTATCCTGCCCCATCGGTACATGTGGTACAAGTCCAAATAGGGAATTGCATCGGACATCATTTTGCCACTGCTGCCTCAAATTAGGAAGTGACCTCCATATGTCTACCAAAAAACGTTTTGAAAGCTTTACTGAGCCCTGGAATACTGTAACCTGTATGAAACAACCTCTGAGCAAGTCATATGAAGCTCTTTGAAATTTAGTAGAAAGGGCATGCTCGATTGTAACAAAAGTTGCGACATGTTGATACCAGAGTGAGTGAGTGAGTTTAGTTTTACGCCGCTTTTAGCAATATTCCAGCAATATCACGGCGGGGGACACCAGAAATGGGCTTCACACATTGTACCCATGTCGGGAATCGAACCCGGGTCTTCGGCGTGACGAGCAAACGCTTTAACCACTAGGCTATCCGACCGCCCCTGATACCAGAGAAATATAGCTATGTACATTCATCTTGCTCTGAAACTATTTGTTTTTGTAACACATTCCAGACTATGTAGGAAAGGCGATTCGCAGTACAGCTCTCTTGCTGCATCGCGCTATAGCCGACCACATCCCCTTTTCGCTTTATTGCCACATCACTATGGTGTCGTGTTATCGCCATGTCATGTCGTACTATCGCTTCGTTATGCTGTGTTATCGCTTCGTTATGCTGTGTTATCGCTTTGCCGTTGCGTGTTATCGCAATTTTGTTTCTTGCTGTATCGCAATATCGTATTGTAAATCGCTTTGTCGCGATATCGTGTGGATATTTCAGGACGATATATCGATGGCCCTTCTAAGCCACCATACGAATATTATAGATGGAGCATGATTCACAACAACTGAAAAAAAGCTTGATATTGATATGACACACACAGCTGCAGTTTTGACTCTATGGCTATTTCAATTTTCTTTGTAGAATATATTTCAATCGATAACATACATACATGTAGCATGTGCATAATTTATCAATCTCATTTATAAGTATTGACGTTTATTTTTAATTTTTGCAACTACATGATAATTCGAATAACTGGAAAACAGTTCTGGAGGAGGGTTTCCATTGACACGTCACCGACCAGTATAGTGAGTGAGTTGGGTTTAACGCCGCTTTTAACAGTATTACAGTTATATCACGGCGAGTCAGCTTAATGTGGGGGGAAACCCGAAGTGATGCGGATCTCGGACGATTACCACTTCGGTGAAACCCACGAGCACGGGTATGGTGCTGACAAACCTAGAAACATAATCGGGGCGAACCGGGATTCGAACCCACAATCATAGGTTTCTGGCGTGCCCGAGGGACGCACCTCTGCACAGCGAATCGCGGCGCCTTAGACGACGGGGCCACCCGTGCCCCCCGACCAGTATATGAAGGCGAGTTATGGTACACATTACAACACAATACAATAACCACACGGTTTGCATTGCAGGCGTGAGTGGCCCCAACCTCAAACCAACAACTCCCTTCCTGTAGCCAATAAACGAGCACTGGTGCATTTATAACTGCGATTCGGATGGATTGTTTCATCGATGTTATATCGTATTTGCACAACATGCATTTTAGACCGTCTAAAAGTACATATTACGAAACTTTCACTTTCAAACAGGGTATATTACATTCACTTTTCATTTGGATGTCAGCACACTTTCAGACTCAACGTTAAAATGCAAAATCTAAAAGATTTAAAATTTAAATATGTCTTCTTTACGATTACATTAATCAAATAGTTGTTTGTATGTGTGCACATGCTGGAGGTAGAGGTGTACAAGCATATATGAGTACAGTAAACTACGGTTATAACGAACTCAAAGGGACTACTAATTTTAGTTCGTTATAACCGTAGTTCGTTATAAGCATATATACAGCATAACTACAGCAAATAGTTGGGACCAAAAAGTAAGTTCGTTATATCCGTCAGTTCGTTATAAGCGTGTTCGTTTTAACCGTGGTTTACTGTATACACACATGTGCATGGATGCACCAAATTGTTCATGTACCGATATATGTATGTGTGTAATTGTGTATGTATGTGTGACTTGTATATTCGCATCGTAATGTTTGCAACAGTAGGTACAATTAATCTAAATTTATTATTTTATGTTTAGTTCACTCTTATTAATTGTTAAATGTCCTTTGTAGGGAGAAGTGTTTAAAATAGGTTTAACCTGTTCACCAATCCCATTCCTTATTTTTGGAAATAAATATTGTTTAAATCAACATTAAAATGCGTTTACAGATCCTGTTTTTTATATAGAAGTTATATATTTTTTTAGGAACATTGTTGTGACCCGCAGATATCAATATTCCAGTTATACCACGGAGACCTGTAGATAATTAAATCTGGGTCGTGAATACTAGTGGTTGACAGCATGAGCAACGTGGGTGTTCGATGACAAACAGACAACCGGATACTAGTATTCATCGTAATCACCCTACCCCTGTTACAGACAGCCGAACCCGTGAAATTTCGGGTTTATTGATTTCAGCAAGCCGTGCTCGTCTCCAGTCGTCAAGATCCGGGCTAGAATAGGTCTTCAGAAACCCATGCTTGTCCTAAGAGGCGACTAACGGGATTCGGTAGTCAAGTTCGCTGACTTGGTTGATGCATGTCATCGTATTCACGTTGCGTAGAGCGATGCTCATGATGTCAATCACTTCATTGTCTGGTCCAGACTCGATTATTTACAGACCGTAGTCATATTGCTGTGCAGAGTTGCGTCCCTTGGGCACGCCAGAAACCTATGATTGTGGGTTCGAATCCCGGTTCGCCCCGATTATATTTCTAGGTTTGTCAGCACCATACGTGAGTTTCACCGAAGTAGTAAACGTCTGAGACCTGCATCACATTGGGCTTTCCTCCCACATTAAGCTGACACGCCGTGATGTAACTGGAATACTGTTAAAAGCGGCGTTAAACCCAACTCACTCACTCAATCACTCAATTAAACATCGCGAAAATTGGCTTCACGTAAAAGACATCGACAGCGGTATGTACACAATGGTGCCAAACTAAACTGCCGTGCAAAAGAATATATACAATTGAAAATTGAAAACTGACAAACGTTATCAAGGCTGAAAACAATCGAAACTTAAGGTCCAAAGCACAACTATACTACCCGTATCAATTACATCACCATCGAATAACCATGTCTTGTTTGTTTCATTTTTAGCAGCTGTCAAACACAGGTGTGTACTTCTTTCCCCGGCAATTAATGTAAGATGTCCGAAAATAGGTGACATTGCAAAGATTTGTGACGTCACAAACAAGCGTTACAGTAGGGCTGACGAGACAGTTCGACATAACGTTTTTTTCCGTGACTGACCGGAATCTGATACAATTGGTCATGGGCTGGTGTCACACCTGACGCCGCGTGCTGTGACCCTCACGGAATACAACGTGCTTAAGTAGGAGGGTGCGGCCCGTTGCTTACACGTGTCTATTTCACCGGTATTATCACTGTTAAACAATAGCATCATTCCATTGTCCCGGTAACGTTCTACTGAAGACGTACAACCGAAACAGACAATGTTTCACAATGACATTAAAATATACGGATTTCTAACGCCTGTCCGACTTGTTCGTCGTACCTAGTGTTTATAAATGATTTAATATGTCAGTTGAGGCTTATTTCGTTACGATGAAACGTGTGTTGGTGTCGGTCGTACTATTGGCTTGCCTCCTTCGGGTTGCAGCGAGCGCTTATGGGTATGGAAATAATTGGAACAGAGCATATTATAATTACATGAAGTACTACCAAACAAGATATGGAAGGTGAGAATGCACATTTTTCATATTATTTAATAACATCTTAAAAGTAAAAATTATGTTTAACAAGTGAAAGAGAACCAATTGCCTCTTTCCAAATTACAGTTCTTTCGGATATTCAGCTGACAATTTATGATTTATTTTAGGTAAAAAAAACAAGGGAAAATTATTTTTCCAATAAACCACCAACCCCATCCGGAATTTACCTTTTTTTCACACACATTGACTGTTACTTGTCCCGTATTGCAAGTAAGCGCATGGGCTAAACCGCTGGTTGCGTTCTGGCGCGTGTTTCGGATAGCTTATTCCATCACCATCAATCTTTCTCTTTTCATTGTTTTTAATAGTCATTGTCTATTTTTCCAGTTTCATAAAATCATCCAATCAGTGTGACATAGGCATAAACAACACGTTCTTCAACAGTCAACCACATTGTTAACTTACACAGACCTAGTTACGCTCCATCGAAAACAAGAATAGAGAACAATTTTTGAACAGGTGTTGTCTGATGATTTAGACCTTTGAACAAAACCAAGTTTAAAACCAAAACATTGTTATCGCTATGTGTCTTCATTATTGTTACGGGGCGGTGGGTTAGCCGTGTGGTCACTCACCCACTCACTCACTCACTCACTCACTCACTCACTCACAACTGTTACCAAAAGTTATCAGCGACAGAGTTGGCTAGCTATACTTTGTTACTAACCGCACAACAACGCACCTGTGATTGCATATAAACCAAGGGTTTGTTGTACAAAAATCAGAAACCCTGACATGGCAGTAATTGCCCAAAGCTAACTGAGGAACAATCTGTGTCGCACTAACTGACAGGGTATTGATACTGTAACGAATGTTACCGCCTCATTTGTTTCAAATTTGTACCCCACGAGCCTACATGATAAACTTAGGAAAAACTTCAATCCTTGATCTATGGGGCATTTTTACAACACGTGGAGACCATGGATACAGTTACAGATACATGTCTTCAGAGGTTCAGGACAATTGTTAAATGTGAAATAGATAATCTCACCCGAGTGTCTTTTGATATCAAATATATCAACACGAGTTGATACAAGTGGAAAAATTCCGAGGCTTGCCGAGGATTTTTGCCACTTTTATCAACGAGTGTTGATATATTTGATATCAAAAGACACTCGGGTGAGAAATTTGTACCCCACGAGCCTACATGATAAACTTAGGAAAAACTTCAATCCTTGATCTATGGGGCATTTTTACAACACGTGGAGACCATGGATACAGTTACAGATACATGTCTTCAGAGGTTCAGGACAATTGTTAAATGTGAAATAGATAATCTCACCCGAGTGTCTTTTGATATCAAATATATCAACACGAGTTGATACAAGTGGAAAAATTCCGAGGCTTGCCGAGGATTTTTGCCACTTTTATCAACGAGTGTTGATATATTTGATGTCAAAAGACACGAGGGTGAGATTTTATTTATCATCCAACATCATTCTTCCAACTTTTTCAATTTGGAGACAGTAATTAGCAGCAATCTCATTAAAATCAGATCTTAGTTCTCGCTACCGCTAAACGGTAGCGAGAACTAAGATCTGATTTTAATGAGATTGTAATTAGCAGTGTCTTCAGTGTAAAAAGTACTGCCAACAGTATCAGTAGCAGAGCCATTAGTGATGTCATTTGATTGTGACGTCATGGTAACCAGTGATGGCACAATGGTCTGCAAAGCATTGTGATGTAATTTCATTGCAGCGATATCTACAGTGTAGATATCGCTTGATCTCATCCAAGCGATATCTCCTGTGGGAGCCAGTTTTGGATGATAAAGCAAATTCCATCTGAAGTTCACTGAGAAAACAACATGTGAAATGCTGGATTTCCTCATTGATAACATCTATGTAAAATTTGGGGATAAGACTGATGCTAAAGTTGACTTTGTGATGTGAGTTTTGAAGTATCTGACTCAGGACCATAGGTAATGTCGGCCATGGGGTCAGTGACGTCAGGTGCTGATAGCATTCGTGCCACGAGCCCCCTTGTATCGACCATTTCACAGTCCTCACCATAAAGGGTTAATCACATAAAGGGACTGTTATTGAATCAACTTCGTATCAAAGAATAACTGTACAGTGACGTATGTGAACAATGAAGTCTGTTAGGCAAGTTCGGTTGGTTGGTTGGTTGTTGTTTTACACTGCCCTTAGCAATATTCCAGCTATAGGACGGCAGTCTGTAAATAATCAAGTCTGGACCAGACAATCAAGTGATTGACATCATGAGCGTCGATCCACGAAATTGGGATACGATGACATGCATCAACCAAGTCAGCGAGCCTGACCACCCAATCCTGGAAGACCTATTCTACCGCGGAGAAGTAGGGAGAGCACGAATACATGATAGCAATTTCTTTTATTCTATGTACAACGTTTCAGAGCTACTTCTTGCTCCTTCATCAGGTGAATGCTTAGTTAGTGCATAGAGTACTATATAAATATATATACAGATAGATACATAGATACATAGATACATAGATAGCTAGATAAAATACAAAAGTCCAAAGATGAGCTGTATAATTTACTCAACCGGTTTCACGAATGTGATTTTCAAGAGTTATTTATATCCTGATGAAGGAGCAAGAAGTAGCTCTGAAACATCATTACAAAGAATAAAAGAAGTTGCTATCCAAAGAAAAGTACCATGTATTCATATGTGAGTGAGTGAGTGAGTGAGTATGGTTTTACGCCGCCTTTTTGCAATATTCAAGCAATACCAAGGCGGGGGACACCAGAAATGGGCTTCACACATTGTGAGGAATGTGAGGAATCGAACCGGGTCTTCGGCGTGACGAGCGAACGCTTTAACCACAAGGCTACCCCACCGCCCCTATGTGAACAATGTTCTTTGATTCTTGTATACCTAACCCTCGTCCTTACCCCTCAGACAGAACCCGTACGGTCAGCTGGCGGGCTACCAGGTCCTCAACTCCGCTAAGTGGATGCCGATGGGCGTCTATAACAATTACTTCTGCAAAATCCTGGGTTCATCAGTCGGAAAGAGAAGCATTCGACACAAACGGATTGTACCAAACAGAGGACTCTATCTCCCGGATTACATGATGTCTACGTCGATTCTTAGACGTTACGCCAACAGGTACTTCGGGAAAGACAAGGTAGACGACCTTGACCGAACATTACGGCAGTTCTTCAACGTCAGTATCGACGCTTACATCCACGGCATGATCCGACGGAAGCAGCAGGGATACCCTTACAAAAGTATCCGGGATGAAATGCTCCGTGGCCTTCTGTCGCGGTACAGCGGCATGGACAACCCCAGATCTGTCAACAACGCCCTCCGCGCCATCAACATCTTCAACAAGGCAGGACAGGCTCAGGTTAGAAGACATGCAGATGCTTATGGCTCGTCAAGTAGGTGAAACACAAGGGTTTTTTGTGAACATCATACTGATTTGTTATCTTTATGATGAATATTCTTTTGAAAAGAACTGTGGTGAACAAACATATGATCTTAGAAAAGAAATTGCATTGATGGCGATAATTATTATGATTATTATTATTATTGTTGTTGTTGTTGTTATTATTGTTATTGATTTTGGCAGTGATGTCTTATGAATATCGAAAAGGTTGTATCGCTTTTATTCGTTATTATTATTATTATTATTATTATTATCATCATCATCATCATCATCATCATCATTAATGTTGTTGTTGTCGTACAGTCGACCCTGATTTTGGCAGTGATTTTTTTATGAATATCGAAAAGGTTTTATCGCGTTTATTCATTATTATTATTATTATTATTATTATTATTATTATTATTATTATATAGTTGTCTCTAATTCGTTACCCCCCAGACTGCATGAATCTGAGTCCCCACGGCCAGCAGTACCTGTGTAGTTATCTCCACTTCGCGATGAGCATCACCCAGGTCTGCGGCGTGAACAACCTCGTCTCCATGCTCTACAACGACTGCAGCTGCCGAGGTGGTCACGGTCCTGATGTTGTGTACGTGCCCATTGACAACCCGCATCCCAACCCAGCTCCGGCAACCGCAGCAGCTACAACTGCTACTACCACGTCTACTACTACCACTACCACGTCCCCGGGGTCTACAGTGAGTACAGACCCGTCTGCCACCACCACCACCACGTCTACAACTACGACAACCGCAACTCCCTCAGGTAGTCATAGTGATGTCATAGCCGATTTCTGTTATAACTTCTTAAAGTTTATGCTTGTTGTTACCCTGCCTGGCGCTCGGCATTACGAGGATACAACAACGACTGGTCGGCTCGGAGTCAGTATACTGTGTCTCAGTGGAATATCCATGTTCCGTGATATCTCAGTGAGTGCTAGCACTATAAACCGGCCTTAGTCCGGACTTATACAAACACACTCACACACACACATACGCACACACGCATTCTCGTCGCTATGTAAGTTAACCCCCATTTTCACCTCCCCTTGTCTGCTATACCTCATGTTATAGGTGAGGTGAGTTGGGGTTAAACGTCGCGTCAAAGATTATTGCACTTATATAGCGACGTGTGTGTGTGTGCGTGCGTGCGTGCGTGCGTGCGTGCGTGCGTGCGTGTATGTGTGTGTGTGGCTGCTTGTACTAGTCCAGACTGCTACCGATTTATAGTGCTAGCTCACTGAGATACCATGCCGCAGTTTAACATGAATACCCCACTCAGACACAGTATACTGACTACGATCCGACCAGTCCTTGTTTCGGCCCCTTAATGCCGAGCGCCAGACAGGGTAACAACAAGTACCATATTTTAACGTCTTTTTGGCGGTCTCTTCATGTTATAACTGGCTAAGACTAACATTTAGTCTGTGAAATCTTATATTACACAATACCCTTTCTGCCTCTCAAAATTAAAAAACAATTTTACCTATAGAGCTAGATAGAGCTTTTGTATACGTTTCTAGATTGATTTGTTTTCATAAAGTAAATGTATTCCACAGTCATGGTGCAGGACTATAACTGGCTCTGAGTGGCTGCCTGTGGTTATGCAGTTTTAAGCTCATGAAGTTCCTATCTGACGGGAATTATTCACATCATGACATGGTTGCATCCGTGTCACATGTAACCAGGGCGATACGCCACTGATTGCTGGACTTTCCGGGACTCCATAACCTGGTGTCTGTGTCGGACTCCATAACATTCTGCCTCTGTTATAATCCGGACTCCTTAACCTGGTGTCGATGCCGGACTCCATAACCTGGTGTCGATGCCGGACTCCATAACCTGGTGCCTATGTTATAATCCGGACTCTATAACCTGGTGCCTATGTTATAATCCGGACTCTATAACCTAGTGCCTATGTTATAATCCGGACTCCATAACCTAGTGCCTATGTTATAATCCGGACTACATAACCTGGTGCCTATGTTATAATCCGGTCTCTTTAACCTGGTGCCTATGTTATAACCCGGACTCCATAGCCTGGTGCCTATGATATAACCTGGACTCCATAACCTGGTGCCTATGTCATAATCCGGTCTCTTTAACCTGGTGCCTATGTTATAACCCGGACTCCATAGCCTGGTGCCTATGATATAACCTGGACTCCATAACCTGGTGCCTATGTCATAATCCGGACTCCATAACCTGGTGCCTCTGTTATAACCCGAACTCCATAACCTATTGCCTATGTTATAACCCGGACTCCATAACCTGGTGTCGATGCCGGACTCCATAACCTGGTGCCTATGTCATAACCCGGACTCCATAACCTGGTGCCTATGTTATAACCCAGACTCCATAACCTGGTGCCTGTGATATTACCCGGACTCCATAACCTGGTGCCTATGTTATAACCCGGACTATATAACTTGGTGTCTATTCCATAACCCGGACTCCATAACCTGGTGCCTATGTTATAACCCGGACTCTATAACCTGGTGCCTCTGTTATAGCCCGGCCTCTATAACCTGGTGTCTATTCCATAACCCGGACTACATAACCTGGCGTCTATACCAAGCTATGTAATTAACGATCCACCTGGTACTGCGCCAGTGATGCAGTCATTGGTGAAATTAAGTTTTTTGTTATTTAACACGCGAGTAAACAATGTTTGTATAATGACCTGCCCAGAGCTTGAAGCTGCCACGTGGTCTCTGTCGCCCTGTTTGATGCCATTCTCCCCCCATTCTCTCCATGTTCCAGACTGCGGCATCAGCACCATCAACCCGGCGCGCGACTTCCCCCTCATCCGCTACATCCTCCGACAGTGGCGCATCGTCGGGGGGATCAACGCTCAGAGTGGGGAGTTCCCCTGGATGGCTGTCGTCAGCGCCAATGGCGGCCTCTGCGGCGGCAGCATCCTCAACTCCACACACATCATCACTGCTGCTCACTGTGTCGAGTAAGACTTGGTTTTACACGGGATTGGTGGGTGGTGGATTCAGGGAGCTCAACATTGAACATCACATACCCTCAAAGTAAAAAATTAATAAATCCAATAAATAGTACACTACGTTCATGATGCATCAAGAAGGGGAGAATAATATATAGTATCATTATGAAAAAGACCCGTGAAGATCCGGGTTAGAATATGTCTCAGAGGCTAGTAACGGGATTGGGTGCTCAGGTTCGCTTGCTTGGTTGATGCATGTCATCGTATCCCAATTTCGTAGATCGATGCTCATGATGTCAATCACTGGATTGCCTGGTCCAGGCTCGATTATTTACAGGCCGCCGCCATATAACTGGAATATTGCTGAGTGCGGCGTTAAACAACAAACAAACACCATCAAACATTATAAAAAGACACTATGTAGGCTGCATGAACTGACCAATATGTTTCAATTATTCACCTTTCGGTAAATATACTGCAGGATTCTGCGTTAAGTGGTTGCACCACGCGCCCCTGCAGGTAACCGCCCACGCATGTGGCATTCAGTGCAAATAGTAGAGGATTGAACTGCTCATAAACTTGGGAATTCGTGCTTGAAATGAATTTGAAATGTACGTCAGCATACTGCAATAGACAATGAACAGATGTTAGATAGCACCACATGACATGTTCTCCAATACTTAGATGATGTCTGTGTTTATACGCACACTGCATGTATGTCCTACCATTTTGCATTTCATGAGTGAGTGAGTGAGTGAATTCGTGAGTGTGTGGGTGGGGGGTGGGGGTGGGGGTGATTGCTTGGGTGGTTTGGTGAGTGTCGGGTTAAAGCGGTTTTATACAGTGTTTCAGTTAAATCAGCGCGTTTCAGTTTAATGTGGGTTTCAGATTAATGTGGGTTTTTGTAGTGTGAGTGTGGGTCGTTTACCACTTTGTTAAATCCCAATAGGTGTGATACGGACAGCAGTCCTGACACGGCAAAGAGAATGTGCTACCCGTGGCCCACATTTGTTGCAAGCGTCTGTGTACCGGGAATGTGCATTGTGGCTGAGGCAGTGGTGCCATGGTCGTCCTATGAGCCAATTAATGAAGATCGGGGGATTGTGTCAGTATGCCCTGACGACGTAGATCGTTGCTCCCAATATCAACCACGCGTTTACCTGGCTAAGTCTAGAGTATTGAAATATAGCTGGAAGAAACATTATTCACAGATTGGGGCTGGTCGGGTAGCCTAGTGGTTAAAGCGTTCGCTCGTCACGCCGAAGACCCGAGTTCGATTCCCGACATGGGTACAATGTGTGAAGCCCATTTCTGGTGTCCCCCGCCGTGATATTGCTGAAATATTGCTAAAAGCGGCGTAAAACCACACTCATTCATTCATTCGCACATTGTGCCCTCTACAGTACATAATAAGGACGTGTGCATATTATCAAGAGAGGATAATACATTTCAGTGATTTTGCGGCAAGTACAATAACAGTAGACGTGGGCGAACAAGACCGGTTCAACGACAACGACCACACAACGTTCCAGGTGTCGACAGTGACGGTCCATGAGAACTACCAGCCTGGCTCTGAGGGTGGGGAAAGAAGCAATCTATTCAGTAGCTACATGTAGGCGCGGATATTTCGTTTGGGATATTCACGTTTTATAGAATTATATTTAAGCTCCAAACCTTTTCGATTTTGTTTTATCATCGCTTGGTTATTAGTCTTTCATAGATTTAGTAAACTGCAAAAGAGAGTATACATCCATGTTTGGTGGTGGCTAAATATTAAACAAACAAGACATGGTTATTCGATGGTGATGTATTTGATACGGGTATTATAGTTGTGTTTTGAACCTTAAGTTTGCAGTGATTCGGCGTCTGTTTCAGTCTAGTACAGTTTGGATAACGATTGTGTATTTTTTTGGTGAAATTAAATTTTCAATACTTCCTTTTGCCCGGCTGTTCAGTTCGAGGCGTATACCAGACTGTAGACATGGTCGGTTCTCGCTGTTGTGACTCTGTAAGACAAAAACCGAATGTGTTTCTAGGTTCTAGGTAGAAAGACTTTACATCTTGTACTTTTCGGGGCGGTGAGGTAGCCTAGTGGTTAAAGTGTTTGCTCGTCACGCCGAAAACCCGGGTTCGATTCCCCACATGGGTACAATGTGTGAAGCCCATTTCTGGTGCCCACCGCCGTTATGTTGCTGGAATATTGCTAAAAGCGGCGTAAAACCATACTCACTCACTCTACTTTTCTGCTGATGTCCCCTCAGCGGAACAACGCGCCATTTACAAGACCGCCTCAGGAGGTACAGGTATACAGTGAATATCCTAAAGACTTGATATGAAGAAAAATGTGCCTATTGATCAGAGGAATATCATAATTTGTTTGTTTCAGCTAATGATATCGCCTTGTTGGAACTCTCGACGCCTATAGACTTCAACACAATTACTGACGCCGCGCCTATATGTCTCCCTAGCGGCACGTTCACAGCCACCGTGGGTGACGGCACTGAGTGTATAGTAGCTGGGTGGGGGACCCTCTCATGTAAGTCCAGTCTCCCACACTACGGGGGGGGGGCATAATTGGCTCCATGATAATACATGCTGGTTGGCGATAATATATTCCTTCTTATTCACAGTTGTTATTGTATAACATTAACCATTAAAACAAAGGGGACAAGGGGTTAGGGCATCCCAGTTCGTGCTTCAGAGTTAAGTCCCTTGACCATGCCAGGATCTGCTGGTCATTGATTTAAATTTCTTAAACCCAACTCTGTCAGTTCGAAACAGATGACAATCTTGATAGTTGTACCATGCAAAAATCACTGATATACACTGTGTAAAAGGTTAAGCACCATATAAAATAGCATTTTGTATAAAACTGTTCCTGTATCAATTTTCTATCGAAACTAGTTTACTTTCCCTACTCATAGAAAACAGAAACAGATGATCTGATCTTATGTTTTGTAATTGTTCCATGGCAATAATAATCTCACTGTTACAGTTCAAGGTCAGATCCCAAACATCCTTCAGGAGGTGTCAGTTCCAACGTACGCAGGGACGTCGTGCACGGCAAACTTCAACACCAACCCCACTACCCCGGCAACGCAGCTGTGCGCAGGCGCACCTGGTACCGGCGGGGTCGACTCTTGTCAGGTCAGGCAGTACAACGTGTAGATTTCCCAATCAATGGTATCTGTTTGGCTGGCAAGGGAACTGTGGCAATTCTAAAAGCATAAAATATTATATTGTTTAAATCTCCGTTTTCTCAATTTTGTTGTAAATCGGAAGCGAACGAATCACGTTGCACTCCGCATATATAATTTTGCATCAGTTAGTAGTAGAGGGCGTATTCTACGCCATTTACATATTGATACATGAAACTAATTGCTATAGCCCTAAATGAAACAAGTCTGGATTGTCCACAGGTTCCCATTTCAGACAGTGATAAATGTAACTAATTGTTAAATCATACAAGTCAGACTAGACTGTCCCACAGTTCCTGAATCATACTACTTTGCCATCCGCCCAGTTCTTACTTTAATGCTCGAGCCCTAAATGAAACAAGTCTAGATTTTCCACAGGTTTTCCCATCGCACTGGGCCTCTTTCCAAATTATATCTGCTTGCTTGTTTCTATCAAAAGAATATATTTTCAGACAGTAAGCGTTTGTCTAATATTAGACACAAAAGACCATGTATCAGCAGAGACCATCTATCATATAGTCTCTGGTACCAGGTAGTTCAATGTGAACATCAGTGTGCAACATCATCACCGAGGAAGTCCCCTCCACTCCTGCTCAGGAGTCAATCACCGGGTCGGGCAGAGGGCAGCGCCTCAGGCTAACTGATGCGTTGATTCTCACGTTTGACCTCCTAGCTGTGTAACTTTTCCGCTATGATGCAACTCACCTCGGTGTCACAGGTCGCATGACATGGCACTGGAGGGTCAGATGACATCTGGGAGTTATGTGTACTGAATGAGACCGATGGGTTAATAGGAGCCCTGCTTCTGGGACCTTTACACCTTGATATGTGCTGGTGGAGTTGCTCTCCATACACCGTAATGTGTAATCCCACATGGAAATACCGGCGCTACTTCTACCTTTTAAGCGTTAAAACTCTAAAATATTCTACCAAATCATTACGTAAAAAGAGATTACATTCTTGAATTATATACTCTATGTCACGGAATATACCAACTGTACGGGGAATAACACATGTACTCTTGTAATCATTATCATTATTATGTTATTATTATTAAAATGATATGTATGTACTAAATAACTATGTATCAATAAGTCCGTGCACTGAAGAATATTTTAGGCACATTCACTTCGAGTTGGATGGATACGTGCGCCGAGAGAGAAGGGGGGGGGGGGGGGGGGGGGGGAGAGAGAGAGAGAGAGAGAGAGACACACACACACAGAGACACACACACAGAGAGACACAGAGAGAGGGGGGGGGAGGGAGAGGAGTAGTGGTGGTAGAGGTGTGTTTCAGCCGAGAACTTTTAAAATGAACCGTCAGATGTACACATTGGACACATGTGGAGAATCAATCGTACCTGGATCATTGGCGTGACAAGCCAACGCTTTAACTACTACAAACATAAGAATACACAATAACAATAGCGACTAATAGACTGTTAAATACAAAAATATAAACTGTGAAAAACACTCTATACAATTTCTTTTCACTTTTATCTGCAGCCATCAAATATTAAAAATAGTTTTAATATAGACCGATTATTAAAGGGGAAATGACAAAACGTCATAAATTCCTATTAACCATCAGGTATGCCAATCTCCTATACAGACCCGGTAACACAAATAACCTATGCAAGTCTACAATGCTTAGGCAAATCTAGATTTCTTTATTTCTGGTTTCCTGAAAAGGTGAGATGAGGTGAAATGGGGTTTAACGTCGCGTCCAAGATTATTGCACTTATAAAGCGACATGCATGCACGTGTGTGTGTTTGTGTGTGTGTGTGTGTGTGTGTGTGTGTGTGTGTGTGTGTGTGGCTGCTTGTACTAGTCGGATGGATGGATTTAGGAGATTTAACGTGCGCTTTCCGACTATTAGCGTATTTCGCACACGGGGAAGCACTTTATACTATTGGGAGAAAAAAAGCGTAATAAATAAATAAAGAAGTGCGACCCAAAAAAATGTAACTTTTACAGCACTAATCTAATAAAAGCTAAGGGGCAGTGGGTTTGGCTGGGGGTGTGTGGGTGGTAATAAAATACTCAATAATATGGAAAAGTTTGGGCGTGGGTTGGAGGGGAGAGGGTCAGGCGTGGGAAGGCACGGCGTCGGCGGGCGAGCTTGTGTGGCGACGAGGGCGTTTACTGGGAAACGCCAGCGAGGAGGAGGTTGGCGAGCTTGCTTTCTTCATTGGAGATGTCTTGGAAGGATCCCTTGATGAGGCGAGCTGCCATGGCGGCGATGAAGTGGTCTGGGCAGGCGAGTTCGCTCTGCTCCAGAAACTCCTTCAGGTCGGTGAAGTTGTGGATGTCATGCTCAAACCGTTCGCCCTCTATGGTCTGAACCATGACCAGGGATGGTAAGGGGCGACTGCTTGGCTTAATCCAGTTTGTGCGAGTTCCGCAGGCCGGTGGTGGTAGGCTCTTGTGGGCTTCCAGTAGACTGGTCGCTTCCCGGGAGAGAAGTAACCGCTGGTCCTCCGGTTTTTCCATTGGAACTCGGTCCGGGACTGGGTCAGTCTGGACTTGGCTAGAGTTGAGAGACGGGCCTGGTGGTGTGGCGGTCTGGGTCTCCGTGTTTCTGCTTGGTGGTGATGGAAGAGGGGGAGAGTCGGGGGAGAAGATACTTTTCCTGTTTCTCTTCTTTCTACCATGTCCTGTCCCTTCCGGCGTGCGAAAGGGCTCCTCCCCTCTGGATTCGAGGGGAGCGAGTTCCAGTGCAGCTGAAGGGGGTGGAGGGGTGGTGGGAAGGCTCTCCTGGATCTCCATGGGGGCGACTGGTGGAGCCTTCTTCACTGTGGGCGGCTTGGCCTTCTGTACCGGGCGTGGTGCAGCAGGGGCAGGGGCCGGGGTCTTGTTCTCCTTAGGCTTGGTCTTGGCCGGAGCTTTGACCAGAGGCCTTTTCCTTTGACCTAAGTCGAAGGAGATGGAGAGGGTGGAGGAGTTGGACTTGTACGAAGTCCGAAGGGAGTAGTCCCCGACCCTGTAAGCCAGCAAGGGCTCCAGGATGGCGACTAGCTCCCTAGGTAGAGATAGAGCGATATCCCTCATGGTGATAGCTTGGGTTGAGAGCAAGGAAGGACACGTCTGCACGGGGCGAGTGTCCAAGCCGAGATGTGTTGTACTAGTCCGGACTGATGACTATTTATAGTGCTAGCCCACTGAGATACCATGCCGCAGTTTAACATGAATACCCCACTCAGACACAGTATACTGACTCCGAGCCGACCAGTCCTTGCTTTAGCCCCTTAATGCCGAGCGCCAGACAGGGTAACAACAAGTACCATCTATTAACGTCTTTTGGTATGACGCGGCCGGGGATCGAACCCCGGACTTTCCGCTCTCCGGGCGGACGCCCTACCACCAGACCACGGAGGCGGTCTTCCTGAAAAGGACTCCTTTCTATTACATATTTTAAGGCATTTGCAAAAAATGAAAATGTAAAACATTTTCAATATCGGAGACTAAATGTATGGACTAGAAAGTATGCACGTGCATGTCTATAGCGACTATTGTCTTGTGTTCCCAGGGAGACTCCGGCAGCCCCTTGTTCTGTTCCGTCAACGGCCGCTGGGTGCAGTACGGGCTCGTGTCGTACGGTGACGGGTGCGCCAACCCTGGCGAGGCAGGAGTCTACACGGACGTCTCGCAGTACGTCGACTGGATCAATGGCGTCTAGCTACAACCGAGTTAATTTACAACCAAATCGATGCTTAACTTCTCAAATTAATTTATTTTTACTTTCATTTCTATTTCTCCCACAGCTGAGTGTTCTGTCGCCTCAATTAGACTACCTTGTATTAGGCATTGGTGGAACCGTTGTTGTTTTGTTTAAATCTGAAAAATAACACCATGTTTCGTTTCCCATATTAAGTTGGATGTATTTAAACAAAATCCCCGTTTTACTCTTGTTGTGTTCTTATTTGCTGGACACAGATATTACAGTTTGCACCACATGAGTGAGTTGGGTTTAACGCCGCTTTTAACAGTATTCCAGTTATATCACGGCGTGTCAGCTTAATGTGGGAGGAAAGCCCGAAGTGATGCAGGTCTCAGACGTTAACCACTTCGGTGAAACCCACGAGCACGGGTATGGTGCTGACAAATCTAGAAACATAATCGGGGCGAACCGGGATTCGAACCCACAATCATAGGTTTCTGGCGTGCCCAAGGGACGCAACTCTGCACAGCGAATCGCGGCGCCTAAGACGACTGGGCCACCCGTGCTCCCTTGCACCACATTACAACCTGATCGGAATGAAACACCCCATTGCTTAGAATAATAATTAATAATATTATGTAACATTTTCGGGGAATCTTGAATTTGCATTTGTACATTTATGTGCAATCTAAATACACGCGCATACTTTGGTTAAATCGTCAGTAATTTATGACGAAATAAAGATATGTATTGCCATTCATTCAGGGGTATTTGTTCCTGAAAGAACACTGCAATATTAGCTGGATTTCTTAAAACACCGAAAATTAAAATACAACTGTATGTTTTATGTTGCATAATAAACATTAATGAAAGTGTTGTTTTGGAATCTTTCGTGTTGTTGTTGCCTCGTTTCATCTTAAAATATGACACAGTTACACATTTGATCACGCCTTCTTGTGTTTAAAGAGATAGATATCAGCCGTCAATCCTCTGTAAATGTCTTTTCATGACAGCAAGTTATGCTTATATTATGGTTGGACATAAAATTAGAAAAATTCAATCTTTCTTTATGACATAATCCTTTTCCGGAAAATATATTAGGTGACTTTTAAATTTGTTAAGTATTTTGACTAACCAAGGGCAGATCACTCCAAATATTACTGACATTTTATCAACAAGGACGAGAGTCTGTTCACGAGCATCCAACAGGATTGTTGTGCTAAGACACAGTCATGCCAGTCTTAGCTCGCTTGGTAGATGTTAATCCGACAAGAAGATATGTACCGAAGATCTACAAAGAAGAAAATATAATTTCACCCAAGAAAAAGAAAGATATCACGAACTTTCTAAGTTCTGTTCGAACTGGTGATGTGAATTCAGTGAAGCGTTTCTTGGAGGGAGGTCTGGAGGCAGACGTGGAAGGCGAAGGAAAGGAAACCGCTTTAACCACGGCTGTGTTTACTGTAATTATGAACATATTTAATGGCAATGCCAACATCTTTGTTTGTCGACAACATTAACTAATGATTATTTTCTTTGGCGCAGTGTTAACAACTGGTTAACAAGATCAGCTGATGACCCCTAGAGTGCCAGTATCGTCATTAGTTCTCTGTAATACAGACTAGACTCGCCTCAGGTGGTGGTCCGAGCCACAGGGGATTGTAAAATAACATTTTATAGAACTGACTTATGTTGTGACCATGTATATTGTAGCTGCTATGTTTAGAGTTACAAGCGGAAACGGTGAATTCGTAGCCACTCCCTATAGACACAATTTGCTGAGAATTCGTAGACACAATGTTAATATTGGAGGTTCATTCGGTAAGTGGTGTGTGGAGTGGATTACTGTATTATTAATTTATTTTGATAGGATATACAGGATTGTTTGTAACTACCATAAAAAATAAATATTCAGCTAAGTATATATTTGAGCCTAGAAGGACAATTGGTGAGTGGGGTGGATTACTGTATTGTTATTTTGTTTTCAGATAATAATCAGGTAAGTATATGCAAACCAAAAAGGACAATATGTTTTGGTGAGTGGAGTATGGGTTTAATGTCACGCCAGGTCATAATGAGTCAAGGATTTATTTTCCTTTTAGGCTGTCGATGAAATACATTTGCCACAAGATAATTCAATAAGTGTATGTAATAAATCAATATCAGTTCTATTTCTCTATTGTATTTGTTTTGTCTATGAGTTGGGGGTGGCTACAAATTTTCCATGGCTGAGAATTAGTTTGGTTACAAATTCACAAGGGGCGGTCGGGTAGCCTAGTGGTTAAAGCGTTCGCTCGTCATATTGCTGGAATATTGCTAAAAGCGGCGTAAAACCATACTCACTCACTCACTACAAATTCACCTACTGCCATTACAAGACCCTGTGGTCCTATCTCAAATTATATTCTGTATACCCATGCTATAGAAATCTTGCAGTTTTCACTTAAATTCTACAACATTGAAATGTCTTCGTTAGACACAAGTTAGCCTACAAGGTATTGATGTAGTCTGTGCACAGACCCCATCAAATTTAGGAGGATGGTAACAGTGATTTGAACCTTAGATACTTATTTTATTGGTTTCATAGGATTTATTATCGTCAGAAACAGGATGCTTGGTTTTTCATTGCTTTTTTAATTAATAACTGGCAACAGATGTTACTACCTCTATACCTTCTAATATCTATTATTATCTGGCTTTTCAAAACTTATTTCCTAACTTTACATGTTTAAAGCATGATTAGGCCCCGGTCATTTTGCAGTTGTGGCAAGTTTGATTTAGGTTGTTAAACATACTTTGTTGTCTGCTCACTCAAACCTAACAATGTAGATCAATCTACCATAGGTAGATATGAGTATTTGAGTCCCCTTGTAACACTGTTTAATGATAATTTTCATATCATAGGAAAATACTGCTATGTGCCGGCTGTTGATTGAACATGGTTGTGATTTGAACAAAAGTGGGACAGTCCCGCCTTTCTACTTCCGCCTCACCCCACTGTGTCAAGCGGTCAGTGCAGGGAACACACAGGCAGTGAGGATGCTCCTTCAGGCCGGATGTAAAAAAGATCTCAGAGATGATCTTGGGTAAGGTCCACAAGATTAGAATAAATGTTTATTTTGATTTGTCACATCAAACCTATGTTCAGGTACAGCATCTACAATATCAAGGTGTCCTACTTGATGATAAATCTGTTACCTTTGCAAACTCAGAGTCTTTAAAAACCAGGGAGGTGAAATCTCCGCGGAAACGCGGAAAATCGAGTTTTTTATTACAGTAGTCCTCGGAAAAATTCATCTTCTGCGTAAAAATATAATTAAAAAAAAACATTCCGAAAAATATGATCGAAAAACCAGACAACCATACATTATTATAACGTAATATTTTCAGCAGTTCGTGGTTGGCTGAGAGTTAGCATGGTTACAGTCAGTATTTGTCCAAGGGGTGAAACGGTACTTCAGTGCACCGATGCATCTCGAGTTTACATGTGACAATATGATACACAACACGTTTTTTTTCTGTATCGATACAAGATTATACACTTGCTAAAATGAATTACTGACTACTCAGTGATGCCCACCCCAGCAGTTTTGTCAGTCAAATATTGCGAAACGTTTTCAAATTCACTAGTAAAATAAACTGCTACTAACATGTGTCTACAACTAGCTGTTCCTTTGGAACCTGCTCTGAAATATTTTTAGTCAAGAAGTTTCCTCGTGATTTAAGGTAAATATGCGTATTGCGATATGTATCGTATTGTGACCTATGTATCATGATACGTATCATATTGTGACCTTGCTCTATCGTTTCAACCCTAATTTGCCCTAAGCTGGAGAGACTTGGGAAACAACTCTGTCATGACTATCTTTAAACCTCTTACATGTTCAACTCCCCGAAATCGCACGATTGATTGAGCTGAAAATTTATGTTGATGTTTGTTACTATAACATGTATAAGGGGGCATCAAAATTGACATTAAAAGATGATTACAATTTTTGATTTGATCAAAGAAACATTCAAGGGTCTATTTCTGAAAAATTAAAAAGGCGAGGGGCCTGAAACATGATGGGGAGATGGTCCCTTATCATGCTTATGTGGTACCATGTTTATTCCTGATCGAGTATCCAATATGGCTGCCAGTGGCCATATTGGAAAATTTCAAATAATCATGAGTCATCCATGAACACTTTTCCCTCAGAACCCTCTGGAGCAGTGCAGCTGATACTTCAAAATGATGACAGCTGAATTTGTTCAAGAAGTTGAATGTGATTTTCAATATGGCCGCGACAGGAGCCATATTAAAAAATGTATTCTAGTCATATTTTAGTTTAAAAAGTAATAAAATATGTTAGATATATGTGTTCCATTTTTTAGATATTTTAAGACCCATGAATATCCGGGGTAGAATAGGTCTTCAGCAATCCATGCTTGCTGTAAAAGGTGACTAAGCTTGTCATAAGAGGCAACTAATGGGATCGACTGGTCAGGCTCACTGACTTGACAGATGCATGTCAATGATCCCAATTGCGTGGATTGATGTTCATGATGTCAATCATTGGATTATCTGGTCCAGACTCAATTATTTACTGATTGCTGCCATATAGACAGCTGGTGTATTGCTGAGTGTGGTGTTAAACAACAAACACACAAGATATTTTAAATTTTGACTAACAGCTCACCTTCCACTTTGATCGTAAATTCTCTCAAAACATATTTCTTTACACTGTAAATATCACTGATTTACCTTTTCACTTCCACCATACTTAAAGCAGAAGCTTGCTATGACCATTCAACAGCCATTTTGGTTCAAACTGTACTGGTGTTTGATGTATGTGTAGTGGGGCTCACTCACCATGTATGTTCAGTTTTGCACAATATTTTACATTCTGCTCTAAATGTACTTTAATGGTCTTAAATTCTCTCAGAATGCATCTTTTCATCTGAAATTGATGGACTTAGGAAGATTAACTTTGGCATGTATGTCTCTGTTATAGTCATGACTTATTTTGCGCAAATCATTAGGATTTTATTTGATTTTTTGTGAAACAATTAGAAGAATTGTATGTCACAAGAACACTTTTATTCTCCTGAGACATGTTAATAGATATATGTCTTTAAGCCTACAAGTTGAAACCTTATAGGAAGTAAATATAACTGTTGTGTATTGCAACAATGTCTTACAATATTATAATCATTCTTGCAGAAATCTTGTGAAAATTTAGTTTGTATGCTTGTTTCATATTTTATAGGGGCGGTCGGGTAGCCTAGTGGTTGAAGCGTTCGCTCGTCACGCCGAAGACCCGGGTTCGATTCCCGACATGGGTACAATGTGTGAAGCCCATTTCTGGTGTTCCCCGCCGTGATATTGCTGGAATATTGCTAAAAGCTGCGTAAAATCAAACTCACTCACTCACTCATATTTTATATAAGATAAATAAAATATGAAACAAGCATACAAACTAAATTTTCACAATATTTCTGCAAGAATGAATGTAATATTGAATAGCGGTGATTTTGATCAGAAGCAGTCAGCAAGACATTTTAGTCAGTTGACCACACATCCAGGTGAGCTCCAGTGCCATGACACTGTATGTCTTTAGGAGGTAATATATGGCTAGTTCCATGTGGCACCAAGATTCCTGACATGTTTTCCTGGTTTAACTTCAGCCGACCTCCATTATTTTACTCCATGTCTTGTTCCAATGAAGACATGTTAGATCTCCTTCTGAGGTCAGGGTGCGACATCAACCTCGGCACCAAAGACACCAACTACACCATCCTCCACGAGGCAGTTGCTAAGGGAAAGCTGGATATCGTCAAGGTAACTATGGTGATGGCTGTTGTGGTGCATATATACCAGTTCACATCGCTTTAAAGTTTTGAAACAAATTAAGCATGTTAAGATGATAAAGTGTGTGTTTGTTTTTTGTTTTTTCAATTATTAAGGGTGACCCCAAAAACACTGCGTTAACAAAGGAATATTAACATTCTCTGTAGAATACTGAACGAGGAAATGGTTCACAGCAGGTTGTGGAAATATCAAATTTGTGATAAAATAAGGAAGTAAACAATGTGAAACAAGGTAGTAAACAATGCCCTGTCGTAATTTGGATTGGTGATATTTACAAAGGTCTTCAGCAACCCATGTTTGCTGTAAAAGGCGACTGTGCTTGTCGTAAGTGCCGAATGACGGGATCGGTTGATCAGGCTCACCGACTTGGTTGATGCATGTCATCGATCTCAATTGCGTTGATCGATGCTCATGATATTAATGTCTGGTCCAGACTTGATTATTTACAGACTTCCGTCATATTGCTGGAATATTGCTGAGTGTGGCATTAAACAACCAACCAACCAACACCTTTTTAAGTCTATATTTTGTACATCGAGATTCGGCTCAATTATGAGGTTGAATGTCGTCAAGTGATGTCGCATATGAATCAGGCGTTGATTTTCCACACTCTGCATGGACTCATTCAATATGCTCAAACTGAAGAAAACCTAAGCAACACGTGTTTCAGGTATTGCTGGAAGCCGGCGCCAACCCTAATAGTTATGAAGTCAATCAACGCTTAACTCCGTCATTCTTCACCACGCGGCAAGACATCCACGAACTGCTGGTAAAGTACGGCTCCAACATGAACCACACAAGTCGGTCAGGTGACACGGTGCTACACCATGCTATCACACATGGCGATCTCCCGCTGGTAGAATATTTCCTCAATAAAGGTGCAATTATCGATGCTATAAAGACGACGTGTGTGGTCTCTTCCCACAACATCCTGCAGCAGGTGAACATCCAAGACCCCCTCCAGCAGGCCGCGACAGAGCACTACTTCAAAATATGCATCCGACTCATCCAACATGGCAGCTCCACGCAGTTTCTCAATTCGGACGAAAATGATCTTGTCACGAGACTTCTAAGTAGCGAGAACCTGGAGCTGATTCTCACGTTGTTGTTCGCTTCCGGAAACACCAACTGGTTGAAGAGAATTTTGTCGGATGAAGTGCGGAATCATCTGAACATTTCTAAGGCAACTCGTGATTGGTTGCGGAGACTGGCCAACAAGGTGCTGCCGCTGAGGATGATAGCGTGTCACACTATCCGTCAAACGTTGAAAAGCCGAGCATCACAAGGGAGTATTCTGAAAGATATTTCGAAACTATCATTGCCAGAAGTGATGCATGATTGTGTGGAACTGAAGGTGAAGCTAGCATGATTGTGTGATACTGAAGGTGTGATCGGTCCAGGAAATGATCTCAGTGGTCTCCTTGGCTGAAACTCCATCCCAAGTCTCACTTGGAAGAAATTTCCATGTTATTATAAACAGATTGCAAGTGATTCTGTGGCATTTGATTGGCTATCCAAGCAAAAATATTCTGCATTTAAGAAAAAAAAGACCACACCCACTTCTACGTACTACTGTTTCCTGGTTGAGTGATATTAGAATGGGCGAGGCTTGAGTTGCATTGTTGCACTGGATGATGTCGGTGATTGTGTATTGTTGTCTGTTGTTTTATTGTTGCTGATCTAATAAGAAGTTTGTGAAGTTGTTTCTTTTGACATACATATTTATAAGAATTGACTTCCTTGTGTTCCTTCCTTAGGTGTACATCTGCATATACAAGTTTTTACGAAGTCACAAAATGGATTGAGCTGAAATTTTTTGTTGATGTTTGATGCAATACAGACATGGCAATTTTCCTCGGATTCCCAGAATTTCGTGATTTTTTCTCTCAGTATGATGTAAAATAGACTTATTTTAATCCTTGTTTTCGGGGGGGGGGGGTAGAGGGGGCATGCCCCTAAACCCCCCCTAGATTGGCAATGGTCCCTTTATCATGCTTATGTGGTACCATGTTTATTCAAGGCATCCTGTTTGGATATCAAGTGTGGCTGCCATTCGCCATATTGGAAAATTTCAAATAATCGTGGGTCATCCATAAACATCTTCCTCTCAAAACCCCCTGGAGCAGTGCAGCTGAAACTTCACATACTTCTTCCTATACCTCCAGAAACACAAAATATCAATTCTTAAAAAACTTAAATTCAACTTTTAGTTTTGAAAAGCTGACTTCTGTAAGAAGTCTTTGGCACTTCGTGTTACAGCCCTGAATGGAATGATAAGCTAAAATACCCAAATTAAGAAGTATAAAGTTCCCAATTTCATTGGAGATTACTTTTGTTCACTTTGCCTGCCACTGGCGTTGAGTGGACAGTCCTACAAATCCCTGGGTTGAGTGGTGAGATTCACTAATGATCAAAGGCACTCTGTAGAAGCGACTGTATACATTCCTGTTGTATTCCCTTAACACTGATTCCAGGTCATTGATGAGGGTGCTCTTCCTGTAAGAAGACATCCTGTTGGTGTGTGTGAGTTTCATGCGTTAAGGTAGATGAAATGGGGCTAGTCACATTCAAGATTGCACTTAAATTGCAGTGTGTGTGTATGTGCATGCAAGTGTCTGTGCAGCTGCTTGTACTAGTCTGGACTAATGTCTGTTTTAAAGTTCTAGCCCTCTGAGATACCTCAGTTTAACATGAATACAGTATACTGATTCCGAGCCGACCAGTCCTTATTTTATTATCCCCTAAATGCCGAGCGCACGGCAGGGTAACAACAAGTACCATATTTTAATGTATGGTATGATGCAGCTAAGGATCGAAATGACGACCTTTAGCTCTCTGGGTAGATGCTCTACCCTCAACACCACGGAGGCGGTGCTTGGGAGAGACCTTTTTTCGTTCCAAAACATGCCAGTTTTGTACTCGTGACATGATCACATACAAACATGGCCGACATGAAGGACAAAGCAGGAGCATGCCTGTGACGGAAGATGTATATCTGGCACATGTTTGAAACGTTATCTAGATCTCCTCTGATTATCAGTGGGAAAACCTTTTCAAATAATTAAGAATGTTATCAGATGTGTTCCCAAGTAAGAAGTAAGAGACTATAAGAAGTAAGACTGTTCATATCAAAACTTGCATGTTTTGGTCTTGCCCTAAATAACACCAATTGTATACGTGGTATAGGTAAGGGTAAGAGGTGTCTAAAAGCTTGTACTTTGTCCATTGGAAGATGATATGTTGATTCGATACTTCAAACATAAACAATGAACATTGTTTCAGTATGTTATCTGTTTTGATACTTCAAACATGTAAACAAAGAAGGTTGTTTCCATATATTGTTTGTTTGGATGCTTCAAAGTGTAAATGAAGACGGCTTTTGTCAATATATTGTTTGTTTGTTTGGATACTTCAACCATGTAAACAAAGAAGGTTGTTTCAAAGTATTCTGTCAAACATGTTCCTATATATGTTTTATTTATTATACCTTGTATTTTATATCTATGTGTATTCTGAATGGTTTATATCAACAGGGTTTGACAAAAGATTCATGGCAGTTTGAGATCACTGCTTGTGCAGGCTGACAAAGTCACACATATAACTTTCATGTTAATACACATATTCACCGAATAAAAAAATGGTTAAAAAAACACAGGTTCTCTTTGTTGAAATGTTAGGTATTAAAAGTGATTAGCTCTAGGATGTGAGGAATGCCCTGAATGTTTTCAACTGTTGTTTCTTGTCCCCCTTTCTAACATTATCACAGCTTACTGGAAACATGCTGTGTGGTTGTCTTCCAAGTTGACTAATCTTCTATGGATCTAGTGAATTTCACTGGTCCTTTTTCTGTGTAGTGTTTAAGTAGTTATGAACCTGTCATTGTAGTTCAGACCCGTGAAGATCCGGGGCAGAATAGGTCTTCAGCAACCCATGCTTGCCTGAGAGGCAACTGTGCTTGTCGTAAGGGGTGACTAACAGGATCAGGTGGTCAGGCTCGCTGACTTGGTTGATTCATGTCATCTTATCCCAATTGCGTGGAACGATGCTCATGATGTCAGTCATTGGATTGTCTGGCCCAGACTCGATTATTTACAGACTGCCGTCATATAGCTGGAATATATATATATAGTGCGGCGTTAAAGAACAAACGAACATCGTAGTTCTTTTGAATGTGCCCCAGCCATTGTCAAACCTATATTCCATCAGATATAAATTCCTGTTGCATGTACTTGCAGTGTAGTCACTGAATGTGTGTGAGGCGAAGAACTGGCATTAGTCTTCAGGTTGTTACTGAGAGATTATTCTATTGGTCATACACATACGATCTCATCATAACACCATACACATTAGATCTCATGATAAGGTCATACATGTACCGGTTTATATAATCTCATGATAAGGTCATACATGTACTGGTATATATAATCTCATGATAAGGTCATACATGTACCAGTTTATGTGATCTCATGATAAGGTCATGCATGTACCGGTTTATATGATTACATGATAAGGTCATACATGTACCGGTATATATGATCTCATGATAAGGTCATACATGTACCGGTTTATATAATCTAATGATAAAGCATACATGTACCAGTTTATATAATCTCATGATAAGGTCATCAATGTACCAGTTTATGTGATCTCATGATAAGGTCATACATGTACCGGTATATATGATCTCATGATAAGGTCATACATGTACCGGTATATATGATCACATGATAAGGTCATACATGATATGGTATATATGATCTCATGATAAGGTCATACATGTACCGGTTTATATGATCTCATGATACGGTCATACATGATACGGTCATACATGATACGGTTTATATGATCTCATGATAAGGTCATACATGATACGGTATATATGATCACATGATAAGGTCATACATGTACCGGTATATATGATCTCTTGATAAGGTTATACATGAACCGGTTTATATGATCTCATGATGAGGTCATGCATGTACCGGTTTATATGATCTCATGAAAAGGTCATACATGATATGGTATATATGATCTCATGATAAGGTCATACATGTACCGGTTTATATGATCTCATGATACGGTCATACATGATACGGTCATACATGATACGGTTTATATGATCTCATGATAAGGTCATACATGATACGGTATATATGATCACATGATAAGGTCATACATGTACCGGTATATATGATCTCATGATAAGGTTATACATGAACCGGTTTATATGATCTCATGATAAGGTCATGCATGTATCGGTTTATATGATCTCATGAAAAGGTCATACATGTACCGGTATATACGATCTCATGATAAGGTCATACATGTACCGGTACATACAATCTCATGATAAGGTCATGCATGTACCGGTATATACGATCTCATGAAAAGGTCATACATGTACCGGTATATATGATCACATGATAAGGTTATACATGAACCGGTTTATATGATCTCATGATACAGTCATACATGATACGGTATATATGATCTTATGATAAGGTCATACATGTACCGGTATATACGATCTCATGATAAGGTCATACATGTACCGGTACATACAATCTCATGATAAGGTCATACATGTACTGGTATATATGATCTCATGATAAGGTATAACATGTACCGGTGTATATGATCTCATGATAAGGTCATACATGTACCGGTTTATATGATCTCATGATACGGTCATACATGATACGGTATATATGATCTCATGATAAGGTCATACATGTACCGGTTTATATGATCTCATGATACGGTCATACATGATACGGTATATACGATCTCATGATAAGGTCATACATGTACCGGTATATATGATCTCATGATAAGGTATAACATGTACCGGTATATATGATCTCATGATAAGGTTATACATGTACCGGTATATATGATCTCATGATAAGGTCATACATGTACCGGTATATATGATCTCATGATAAGGTCATACATGTACCGGTATATATGATCTCATGATAAGGTCATACATGTACCGGTATATATGATCTCATAGTAAGAATGCTTTTATGTTTTTGTGTGAACTTAAACAATTCTGTATTCTGTTATTTTGTTGTACAAATTTCATTTTCTTATTTACATTTATCATACCATACGTAATTTGCTTTTTTGATGGCATTATTGAACGTGCTTAAAGCATACAGTCATTGCATTTCCCTGCTTTTGCTCCTCAGTGTAAACTATGTATAAATCATGTCTATTGAGCATAATATCAGAGAGAACAGCATCTCTACCAGGTGTGTAGGACATATAGTTTGTTTTATTTGGAAAATGGGCTTCCTGTCGAAATCAAAGTCTGTTCAATATGCAATTGAAAATATACTACCCAAAAGAAGTTAAAGAACTCCCACA